GGGTTTTAGAGCTTTAGGGGTTTAGGGTTTAGGGTTTAGGGCTTTAGGGGTTTAGGGTTTAGGTTTTAGGGGTTTAGGGGTTTACGGTTTAGGGGTTTAGGGTTTAGGGATGCAGGACGAAGACTTCCAAGTCGGGGCTCGGCCGCAGTCTTGCGGCTTTGCGCGGTTAGGGTTTAGGGCTTAGGGTTTAGGGTTTAGGGCTTAGGGTTTGTCTTCGAAAGGTTCGGCGCTTTTGGAGAATCAGAAAGCCTTACCCCCCAAACCGTAAAACCTTAAAACCTTCAACCTAAACCCCAAACCCTCAAACCCCAAGGCCTAGCCCCCAAAACCATAAAAACCTAAACCGAAACCCCCAAAACCTTAAAACCTAAACCCCAAAACCCTGAAACCTTAAAACCGAAGCCCTCAAGCCTAAAAGCTAACCCCTAAGCCCTAAACCCCAAAACCTTAAAGCCTAAACCCTAAACCCCAAAATCTTGAACCTAAAGCCTAAAACCTTAAAACCTAAGCCCTAAACTCTCAACCCTAAACCCTTACAACCTTAAAGCCTAAACCCTAAGCCCAAAAAACTTTAAAACCTGAACCTTCGGGTTTAGACTTTAGAGTTGAGGGTTACATTTTGGTCTGACGCCGGAGGCTAGTGGACCTCGTGGACATCTCTGGGGACGGTCTGGTGAACTACCTGGAGTGCCCACGGCTGCAAATCCCTAGTTTAAGGTTTAGGGTTTGGGGTTCGGGGTTTAGGGATTAAGGGCTTAGGGATTAAGGGCTTAGGGTTAAGGTTTTAGGGTTCAGGGCTTTGGGGTTCAGGGTTTAGATTTAGAGGTTAGGGGGTTGGTTGGGGTTTGGGGTTAGGGGAGATTGTGGTAGGTGGTGGAACTCTTGAAACAACTCCAAGAACCCGTTGGACCCGATGCTTAGGCTCAATGTTAGACTAGGGTTGTGGGGCTCAGTATACTATAATTATCATAACAGCCCCCAAAATAGTATTGTTAATTATTTAGGCCCCTACATTAAGCTTTGTAGAACGTGTAAGGCATACCTGTATAAGTTGTATTTTGAGTTAAGCTCTCTTGCATTTCTCTCCGACTTGATCGCCGTGCCTACCCGACACTTCTCGTTTTAATAATGGTAATAGCAATGATACAAAAGTAAGAACGACACAGGTAATAATGACACTGATGCCACCCACCCCACCCACGGAATTTGGAAGTTCATTAGGGCGGGTCGAAGATTTTTTGAGCCAGGGTCTAGGGTTTAGGGCCTCACTAGGCCCTAAGTGCCCGTGAATGGCTCCACGAGCCAGGTTTCTCCACGCTTTCCAGCCGGTGGACAGGACCCCCCGTATGGGGAGTTGCGCGGGCTCAGGGTTTACGGCAAAGAAAGCAGGATGTTTTGTGGTCACCAGCTCCATGAGTAGCTATCTTGAAGCTTTAGTCGCACGGTGGATCCAGAAAGTTCACGGAGTCTTTGGGAACCGAATGGAGTGCCGTTGTACAGGGCTTCAGACTCGCGGTACCAAAGGATATAGTCCGAAGCCGTTCGCTGCAGATGTTCGCACCAGGCAGACGACACCGAGAGTGACACTGATACGATAGCGAAAGTAATATAGAGGCCTTAATAATTACAATAAGGAGCCCGTAATAGTATAATTATTTAGGCCCCCTATTAAATGACTCCGAACTTCATAGAGCATTCGGAAAGAAGGTGTCAGCAAAGCAGCTAAGCCCTGCCTGAAGATCTTGTAGTGGGCCGTCACGCTATGTACTCTCGCCGTGCTTCAGATGTACTTCATACTCAGGATTTGTCAACCGAATTTCGGGGAGTCATTTGACAAGACAGGTTCTAGGCACCTAGGCTCGCTGCGCCCTGAACATGAAGTCTGAAGACCCACTCAGAAGGACGCCTGGGAATGGCTTGCGCGTGGAAGCCAAGCTTCTCCCACTGTGCTTGTGGTCCGAAACCCTAAAGCCGGAAACCTCGAGCCTTAGAGCAAAACCCTACAAAACCCTAAGGGGGTCTGATTTCAATGCTTATTCTGGATGTTGAATCTGGGGGTGCTTTGGTGCGGGGGGTGCTTTGGGATCCCATGAGGGTTCAGGGCTTTCCTTATTATACTTATAGTACAATGGGCCGCAAAACCCCATTATCATTATAGAGGCCCCTATCTTGAAGGTTCGGAGCTTGCCGGACCTTAATTGAACTTCACACCCTGATGACGTAAACGCTACGGGCATGACACACGGAATGGCCCAGACCGGTACCAAGACAGTGATCCAACCCTACAACATGAGCCTTGAAACCTAAACCCTAAACCCTAAACCCTGATCTATGTAGGCAGTCTAACCCTAAAGCCTTCAACACTGAAACCTAAACCCTAAACCAAAAAGAAACCTAAACCCAACCGTTTTTGTAGGCATGGACCTCATGGAGCAGATTTGCCTCACCATTTGGAAGAACAAGGCACCTTGCTTCATGGGTTTGGGGTTTAGGGTTTAGGGTTTAGGGCTTAGGCTTGTGGGTTTAGGGCTTTGTGGTTTAGGGCTTATAGGGGTTTGGGGTGTAGGGGTTTGGGGTTTAGGGGTGTAGGGGTTTGGGGTTTATGGTTTAGGGTTTTAGGATCTAGGTTTGTGGATTTAGGGCTTAGGGGTTGTGAAGGAGGGTCTTTTGGCTTTGGGGCCTTGGCTTTGGGGCCTTTGCTTTTTTGGTGCTAGACCCTGAACCTTGAACCCCCTACCTAATCCCCCCAAGAGTAGGTAGAATCATGGCCCAAGGCCCATTCAAAAAAGGCTAATACCTTACCTAAACCCTAAACCCTAAGCCCTAAACCCGAAACCCTAAGCCCTAAACCCTCTAAACCCCTAATCCCCTAAACCCTCTAAACCCTAAGCCGAAACCCTAAAACTGGAGTCCAGGGAAAGCCCCGAGCCCGAAAGCTCTGAAGTCGAGATCTCTCTAGAGACTCTTAGGTTTCGATATCCCGTGGTCGGAGAAGTATAAGAGGCTTTAGAGTTTAGGGTTTAGGGTTGAGGGCTTAGGGGTCAGGGTTTAGGGTTTAGGGCTGTGCGGCCTTAATACTATTTTTGGGCTCCTTAATACTACAACTACAATAAGGAACCCTAAGGAATAATAGGCTTCTACGTTAGAAGAGAGAAAGATGGACGACGGTTCAGAGTTGAGGATTTAAGTTTTTTGGGTTTGGGGTTTCGGGTTTCGGTTTCAGGCTCTGTTGACACTTCGCGTCTTCAGACAAATGTGGGAAATGAAATTTGTAACCGCTTTAAAAAGCAACGCCAGAAGTTGCCGTCGATGTTGGGTCTTGAAGCCAGGAGAAATACGATGGATGTCCAGAAAACAGGCTTACAGTAAGCAAATTAGCTTCTTTGAGAGCTTCCGGTTTGGGATGCACAGGCCCTTGAAATATGGATCCGCCATGTTCTGAAGCTCCCACATTCTGCACAACAAGATGCTTGCTGGAGTGCCATAGTTCCCCCAACACTCCTGAAGTCTAGAATCCTAAACTCACAGCTATTCGCCTCGAATCAAAGACCTTATCAAGCGATTCATGATCTGGTCTTTTACTTGCGAGGTTGAACAGCATGGAAGTGGCAGCTGTCGGGGTTTAGGGGCCTAGTCTAAACTGCCATAAAACCAGAAACCGTAGCCCCTGCAACCCTAAAGCACTAAACCCTAAACCCTAAAGCCCTAAACCCTAAACTACCCTAAAGCCCTAAACCCGAAGAGCCCCTCAACCTGAAACCCAAGTGATGAACTTGATCCGAACTTGATCCGAGCCTCAGGGCAGCTTGCAGCAAAGCTTCGTCTTCCTCGAGGAGAAGGAGGCCCCACACCGGAGGGTTTGGAGTTTCTCACTTTGGGACTTCACAGTCGTAACGGTCGTAACGTTTACGGGTTCAAGGTTTCGGGTTTAGTGTTTAGGGTGTGTTTGTCTTTCTCGGCGCGAAGTGATTGAGACTAAGCCTGTAGGCTCCAAACCCTAAACCCTAGAGGCCCTAAAAACCCAAAGCCCAAGCCCATAGCTTGATCAGGAGTGTACATTACCCCTCCGAGCTCGCATTCTCCGTCACTACCTGCGAAGTGCTGGAGAGCCGAAACTGAGAACCATTCCGAGCTTTTGACAGCTGGTGACCTTTGATTATCAGGAGTCTTAGAATCAGGAGGACCCAAAGCCCTAAACCCTTGACTAGGGGGTCTTAAAAGCAGATCCTACCAATTTAAGCTTTTTTGGGCTTCGCCGCTGTTTCGAACTGCCCAAGACATCTGAACCGAGACCTTGTATTATTTACTGTCTGGGCCTGAATAATTACCTATACTATTTTGGGGGCTCCTGATTATAAGTACAGTAAAATGGTCCCCAAAACCCTACTCTAATTCTTAACGCCCCTACATGATGCCTCAAGCCGCCCTGCACCCAAGACATCTTCTGCTGAGGAGGAGCAAGGAGTAGCCAGTGGCCGAGATAATATAGGAGCCTTAAAAATTGCCTATACTTTTTTTTTTTGGAGGGGGGGGTGGTCCTTCTTATAACTCTAGTATAATGTACCCCAAAGCCCTCTTCTAATAACCCTAGACCC